GCTGTAAGGCACTGCTATCACTAACAGCTTGTCAAGTCTTCTGCGCTGTACTTCAGTGCAGCACGACTGGGAAGGTCAGCTGTGAGCAACAGAAAAAATGTACCAAGTCCAGAAAGGTGAAGGAGGTTCATACTATCTGACGTTGGGCTGTCCTGAAGCCATCCAGCAGAACATTTGAACGTGCTTCCATATGAAAAAAAAGCCCTGTAAAACTGCCAGGAGGGCTGGTAGATAAATCGAATGGCTTATGGATGGAAATGAACCTGCTGCAGCCAATAGGACTCAACCCGATGAGGGCATACAGACATACAGGTTATACAGAATATGGTTGAACAACTGAATTAAATCAGTTGCCCAGTAGGCTTTCTTTCGTATGTCTGGAGAGCAGCGGGGGTAGTAATTGTATATATGGAAGGAAAAGCAGCAGCTACAAGAGTAGTATTACATAAACAAGATGATAAGCTTTAAAACACTTAAAAATATTTCTATTTTATTTTAGTAAAAGAGAATGAAAGAGAGTACTAAACAGATAATACTAGGAAATCAAACATGAATTTGCTGCAGTTAACTTTGTTTGCAGTAATAAATACTGCATGTTGAATCCTACAAGTACCGCCAATATTCTCTACCATTTACTCATCAGTGGAACAGGGCATGGATTGAATCAAGTCCTAAACACCATGTGTTAGGGAAAGGGATATTGGTCAAATCAAGTAGCTTTGTTCCAGTTTCACCAGTTGTGACTTTGTCTTTAGATCTTTTTATAGACTCACAGGGAGAGAAGAGCTTTGGGTCTGGCAAAAAATAATTGCTTTTAAAATTATTCACATCATGATTCATGAGGTTTTAACAGTGCTTATTCAGAGGGGCATGACAGAGAAAAGCAGAAATATGTGAGTAAAATGACAAAATAGGCAATATCACACAACTTCATGGAGAAAATTCTCCTTTTTTGGAAAAGGAAGTGTTGTAAGGTGTTCCTCTTCAGGAGCACCAAACACAAAAGCAAGGTTCTGTAGCAGATAAATGAATGCAACAAGGTATTCCAGCTTGAGTGGGCAAAGGAGGAGAGCAATTGCTGCAGTGTTCTGTCCTCACAGAGGGACAAAAGCAAGGGAAGGCAGGAAGCAGGTTTGAACAGAAAGAGCAAGAAAAACTTCATATTAACATAACAGGTTTTATTCCACTTCTGTTGAATGTGGGATGAAGGGAGCACAGGAATGTTTTTGTTATCTAATAACACCTACTTAAATGTAGATATAAAGCTAGAAATTCGAGTGGGTCTCAGATTAAGCTCCTTTGTAGGAGTGAGGCACAAATCCCTTGCTGGTACCATACCATCACCTGTATGGCTCCAGCAAGTACAACAGAGAAGTAGTTCACTATTTGAGTGTTTATGGTCATAAAGCTTTATGGTAAGCAGATATCCAGATGCTTCTCGCTGTTCATTTTTTTTTTCTTTTTTCTTTCATTCATTTATTTTCCCACAAAGAACTCCTAGGATATCAGAACTAGGATATCAGAACACCTCTGTGTTTTACTTGTGGAAGGAATGCACATGAAGCATAGGTCTTTCATCATTCTCAGACTGTGGTAAAACCACCCCTGCTGAGGCTTCTGTCCTGGGAATGCTGTTCGTTGCCAAGGGATGTGAAGAATACATTAAATAAGACATAGTTGAGGTTGGGGTAGGCAGTAAGTTACCTTGCAGGAATTTGACTCTGCCCATCTGAAATTCATGGCCCTAAAAAGCCAGAGAGGAAACTGAGCTCTTTTAGTAAAGAAACAACACTTTTACTATTCAAAAGTAAAAAAAAAATTGAGGGGCAAATTAATGAGTTGTCATAGAATCTGTTGTTTTGCTTAGCTGGTTTTGAGCTGTAGCCTACTGGCTACCAAAATTGCACCATTACTGAACCACTTGCAACTAAACAGGTGCAAACTGGAGTATCCTGAAAAAGCAAAGCCAAGATTACTGTGTTTTAGTTCAGGAGGATGGTTGAAGACATAGAAGGTCCAGACAAAACAAAACTCTTATACAGTGGAAAGACCTCAAGCCACATGAAAGTCTTCAGAATTTTATTTTTTCATGAGTGATTTTTGGCTTCAGAGTCAAATTGTTTGTGATGAATGACAGTGAGGATCAGTGAGGCTTAAATTAGTAGGATTGGTAGTCATGAAGTTCATGTTCTTATGGTTCCATTCCTGTATGCAACTTTTGTCAAAAAGTCTTTATGTTGAACAAATTGACTGGAGGTGGTAAACATAATCCTTCAGCTGCCATAGTTATGTCACAGTGTTTAAGTTAGATGATAAGACCGGAGTTTATATGATATGCCTCCCAGCTAATCTTACCTTGTCTGATAATTGCTGTAAAAATGCTTTCTTGGTCTGGTGATGTGAAAGGCTCTTGCCTTTTCTATCTTAGTGTTCCCCAACTTTATTCTTCTCTCAGGAAAGATTTTGTTTCCTTTTATGCAGAGAGTCAAAAATAGCCTGTGTGTCACCTAAAACTTTAACACTTCAATTTTGAAGGAGGGAAATACAGATGATCAGTTTATAGGTGGATTATGCCTAAAAATCTGAACTGTTTGGCCTGTATAACTCACTGTAAACTTGAGCAAAACTGTTCAGATTCTATATGCAGTGTACATTTGTGACAATTTAGCTTCTAATTTAGCTTCGTGCCATATGCAGGTGGGAAGTACTCATTCAGAGTTCCCCATGAAGACTGGCCTCAACATTGATTGACTCAAATGGGCTCTTCAGCAAAGCTGTCACACCCCTCTTTTTCCCACCTCCTGCTGCATGTGATCCCCCAAACCAGCCTTCCCTTAGCTCTTCCATTTTCCTACCATAAAATCTTATTGCCTTAGACCCTAGCTTTGAACCCATTTATTCCCTAAACTCACATCCTTTTTTTCCTCCAAACTCTCAAAAATCATTCTGTACACTTTTCCTATAATTTACAGTTTTTAGTTGATCTGAATTTAAGAAAAATGCACTAAAGCAGTCAACTGTAAGTCAGTAAGGAATGTCAGAAGCCACTTTCCACCCTGTGAGCCAAGCAAACACTTGAGTATCCAGATTATCCAAATAAATCACTATTTTTTAAGCCCGATGACACATTTATTGCATGAGGAAAGTTAAAAACCACTCAAAACTATTGCCAAATGCTGAGATGAATAATTATTACTCAGAGGAAACAAACCATTCATCAAAGACATTTTGGGAACATATATAGAAGTAGAATTGTCCTATTCATGGACCAGTATATGAAAAGGTAATTGGAGGAATTTTTCTAGGCTAGTGTTGAATATAGAGCACAATAAAGGGAGAAGATAGCTAAGCTAACACTAAAGATCTCTTTGTAGGACTCAAATTTTCTTCCATAGTATTTATGCCACCAGTACTATCTGTTTGGTCAGACACAATGGAGCCATGTCAGACTGAATCTACAGCTGAAACAAGTGTCTGAAATGGCACTAATAGAGTATCTTGTAACAACTGGCAAAGTATCAAAATTCAAGGATTTCTGTGATTCACTTATGTTTAAAATTCTGATTTGGAAAAGTTTTTAAGTTCCTTCTAATTTTTTATTGTATCTATTTATTTTTTCCCCCAACACATAACACGGTTGTAGCCTCTAGCCACATGGCAGTGCAGAGACATGCAAGGGCCATGAGGTCTAATGCCCTGGAGTTTTAGACTTATACCATATTATTTCCTTTAAGTCATATAAAGAAAAATTTTTTTTCAAGATGCCATTAGGCTTTTTCAAAACTTCAGTCCTCTGCTGAAATCTCTCTCTAGTTTCCAGCCTCAATTCATGAGATGCCAACCAATGCCTGACTTTTCTGTGGGAATTGTTAAGTAGCTTCCTACCATATGTCACAGGATTGGAACCAAGTAGTAATTATTTAGTTTAAATTAAGTCACAAATAATGTGTGAGAAACACGGCATATGTTCAGGTTAAGGGGCAGTGGCACTGCAGGGCTTACTCACCCCAGCACAGGGACGTGGCTTTTCTTGCTGTAGCCCTTTCAGATCCCAGTGCGCTGGGACAGGATGGGCTTTCCCAGAAGCAGCATCCCTGCTCAGACTGGATTTCTGGCTTTGCAATCACCCCAAAATGGGATTTATAAATAGAAGGCTGAACTGAGATGTTTAAAGTTAGATAAAAGAAAATTGGGCCTACATAATAAAGTCAGTATTACCTCTGTCTTTCAAGCTGGGGTCATCTCATCTTCAGGGCATCAGGCAAGTAACCAGAGCTACAGACCGTGCCAGGTACATGCTGGGCTTCCAAAGGATTTTTTTAACTCATTAACAATATATTAGTTCCACATGTTACAAGTCAGAACGGTCCTTCCAAGTATCTAGACTTATTAATTTCTGTCCTGTGGTCACAGGACAAGGTATAATGGTTTTATAGGCAAAATCATTAAAATGGTTCTTCAAAGATGATGTGTATGTGAAGGAAGCAATATTTTTTGTCATGTTCTTCTTGAGTAAGACCAAGTTAATTGTTCTCTAGCAGAGACAATATGGTTGGGATACTTCTCTGAATGTCAGAAGCTGGAATCAGCAAGAACGACTTAATTGTCTAACTCACCAACTGCCTAATATACAACCGTTCTTTAAACACAATTTTCTATAGTATTTAGATTATATTTCAATTTTCTTCTCATGAATACAGTTCTGCATAACAAAATATTTCCCTGTAGTCAGGATCCATTATTAATTACATTGTTATAAACTTGCCTGTTGATTCATTCAATTATTGCAAAGCATTTTTCATATCCTACAGAGATAACACCTTGGGCTTTTTCTGCCTAATTAGGAGCAGGTGAAGAACGTAAGTAGGGAACCAGGGATGAGCCGGTGGGTGTTGCTAAATGAAGCCTTTCAGAACAGAGAATCTCACAGCTCAATAGACTTGTATCGAAAAGCAGTCCCAATTACAAAACCACTAGCTTAGAAATGAAGGACTTCAACATAGAGCTTGACACTGATTTTATTTTCCAAAGCTAATATTAATATTTAATTGCATAACCCAGGGCATTGACTGTATTTTGTAACATATATCTAGAAAAATCTTTATTTTGACTGTTAAAAATATATAGCTAGTTTGATTCAATATATATTTACTTATTAAATGCTTTGATACAGTATTTCAACTTAAACTTCATGTCAAATAGATCACTATATATCCCAGCCTATGTTATTAGGAAAAGATGAAAATATTCCAATGCAGTCAGTTATAAATACTATTATGTTCTATTATAAAGAATTTTTATTTTCTTTGGTTGGACATGTAGGGACCTTCCCATTAACACAATAGCACGTGCAGCACAGGAGTTTGCCCTGAAAGCCAGGATTTCCCCATTAAGTTACTGCCCAAACACTACTAAAAGCACAGCATTGTGGGGAGCTATACACAGACTATGCCTTTATGCAGCAACCTGCAGCTTTGGGCTCAGGCTGCTGCCTTTCCTGAGCAAAAGTTGGGCTTGATTCCTCCCCAGCATAGTTGAATGCAAAGGGGTTCAGACTGATACGCTGACCACAGTACCAGTGAGCTGGGAAAGGATGAGAGCTCAGCCCCCTCAAGGGTCAGAAGACCCCTCCTGCTGACGGTAACTGCTGTGATGCCACAGATAAGCAGACTCCCTGGACCATGAGGCAAAACAGCTATCATTTGTCCCATATACCCCTGTGGGGTGTTTTTGCCTGCTGAGCTCCATGCTTTGTTGGGGTGGCTGTTATGCAAGCTCACCTCTTTCACTGGCACCGAGTCCTGCTCCTGCTTCGTCCCTCTCCACGAGTCAGTCCCATGGCAGGGGCAGCCTTGGCTTTTCATTTCCTGCAGTAAGGTTCAGTTTCACTCCTACTGCTGAGGAACCTCTAGCTGCCAAGGCCAGAGAACCATTTCTAGTTTTAAGATCTAGTTTCTGAGTGCACTTGGTTTTCTAAAGAATACACGCTGTAGATGTATAATAGATTCTTCCCTTAAGGAGATAAGATATATAGTATTCCCTCTACATAATCTTTATTTTTGTTGTAGGTCTGTTATGTGGTGCTTCTCAAAGACACCTAGACAACACAATTAAGCAAGATGTAGCAATTTGGAAAATAGCTGCCAGCCACACAGGTATTGACATATAGAAGTTCTGTGCAAAATCTTTAAAATTTTTATTCTGACTCCTCTTCAGTTCATCATGGTGTTATTATTAATTACTATTATCACTGATAGCATAAAGATGTAAACGCTTGATTGATCACAGCTTTATATACAACATCACAGAGAAGGCTGTTAGGTATGTGACACTGAAAACAAGAAAGTAAAACCAGAGGAAATGTATAGTGAATTAAAGTATGAAAAGGAAATCTATTTACATGCATTAATCTATACATTATCATATTCTGTACATTTTGTAAAAAATAATCACATTCATTTACATCATCGTTAATTATTACTGTACTCAACAGATAAAAAGTTATAAAGACAAGAAAAGAGAATTTCAAAGCAATACTCATACTAATGCTCCAGGAAAGGGGAGGGGGGAAAGCTGCAGGTTGAGAAATTTACTTCAGTGCTTTGGAGAACAAAGGATTTGGGGACTTTTCAGCCACTGTTTTAGCTGACAGCGGAAATGGTCTGAACATACTGTCATCATTAGCCAGGTTAAACACAGAATCATATCAAAAAATGCTTTTTTTAAGTAGCTGACACACTGGTTTACTGATATGTGTTGATATACTCTTATAATATAGATGTCAGAAATTACAGTTTCAGTACTCTTCATTTGAGCAGAACAGTACTGCTCAATACTACCTGCTGCTATTTGGTTATGTCACAGTGTAGTACTGGCAGCCCACAGCTTATCTAGGCACTCATGGCAATGTGAAGGAACTTTTGCTTGTAAAAGTATTTCCTGTATTACTCTGCACAGACAGCAACCCTAACACACAAATTAGCTTTCTCTACAGGCTACTTTCTGGTTGTACTTTTTTATCAGACATATTTAATGTTTAATTTTCATTAAAATTGTCTAAAAAAAAAAAACAAAAAAACCCTGCAGTAATGAGTTTGGGCTTTATGCACAATCACTTTGCTGAAATGGACAAATTCAGTACCAACAGGGTAAGTTTTTTAGCACTCACAAGAACAGGAGACAAATAATAGCAATGACTCATGCTTGGTGTGTGAGGTGTGTGCACTCGGCAATGACTTATTTCACACGCCGTCAGGCAGACTGCACAGTTTGCTGAGGCACTCAGCTTTCCCCTTCATCATGTTAAAGGCAGAGGGAAACCTGTCTGGGGTGTGTCAGGATGTCAAGTGCTACACAATGGGGCAAGCTGCCTCTGACTTGGCTTTAGAAGGCTTTTTAAACTGTCACTTTTTGTGGCTAGCAAGTTATTAACACTACAGTACAGTCCCAGCACGTGCTTAAACTGGGTAGTTCCTCAGGTGCTACATGCAGCACACATCACCACTTTGGTGCAGTCTGTTGGGCCCTAGTGCACTCCAGCATGGTATTCATGGAGAAGCTACTTAAACACGTCAAACACAGCATTTCATGGAAACCAGCACTGCTCTCAGTGGCCAGTTGTATTATCATTTCATGTCATTAATCAGCTCCTGGTCAGCAGCTGAAATGACTGCACAGATAACGGAATGGCCATGTCAACTCTGAGTGGGAGTGAGAAATGTGGTCAATGCTCTACGCCTTCCTGAAGGGATACACTGCAATGTTCCATCTTCTGTGAATGAAAATATCCTAAATTTGAATGAGGCACAGAAGAGAAACAGGAAAATTCATTTGAGAAAATGCTCAGAGTTGTACTTAGAGTTTTAGAGATCTGACATTTTTAGTTTCTCAGGAAATTAAGATGGTTTTTAAGTGTGATTCAAAAGATTTCACTTAAAGAAAATTTCTCATAGCCACGAGCACTTTGTTTTATTGTATGACCCATCTAAAAATATAAAAAGGCAAACACCTAAAAAAAAAACTGCTGAAAGTTGATCCCAGGCAAATCAGTATCGGTCATGAGGCTGTTGGGTTTATCGTGGAGGGCAGTCAACCACAGGGACATCCCACTGAATGGACTAGGTAGGGATCCTTCATTGCCTTCATGTGAGCATTTATGGGAGGATAAGTTTTGTCAATCAGCTTACGTGGCTTAAAAGAGAGTATTTAGTTATTTGTTGGCAACACAACTGAACAGACTCTTCTGGAGAAGAGAATTGCAGACATAGGGTGAGAAATCTTAAGTTTCTGTTCATTTCGTTTGTATTCTATTCTACTGCGCCCTAACCTACCCTCAGCTCATTTTATAGTAAATACAGGAAAAAAAAAACATGATTCAGTTTATGTGCCCTAGATGCACAGCAGAACATGGGATGAATCGTCTACAACTAGCACCTACTTCTTTATGGCCAATACGGAAGGCACTTAAAACGAGTCTTTAGCTGAAGAACAGGCATTTGGCTTTTGAGGGATAAATAAGGGTAGATAAATTTCACCTAAAGTTATCAAGAGCCTAGCTAAAATCATCATCTCTGAAGAGGAAAATGTAAGTTAACTTTATATAGTTAGATTCTGATCACCATCGGCAACTAGAAAGTAATTTGTCCATGTGTCCCTCAGGCATCAGCAGCAGGTAATGTGGCAAAAATCACTCAATGAATGGCGTTGCCTATCTGGCTCCAAGGCAATAAAGCACAGCCACTGAGTACAGTACAAGAGAGAATCTTGTCAGCATTCTTGTTTAGTTAACATGGTGTGCTACTGGCTTTTCAGTGGGAATACAATCCAGCAGGTTTCCTGCTTTGAAGCCTTTATGACTCAGTTTGGATCCTGATGCAACCAAAGTGAGAAAGGCAGTAAAGGAATGAAGAGGAGGAGAGCTAAGTCACAAGGCTACATGGGCAGAGCACACCTGCATTGCTTCATCCACCTCCTCCCCTGAAGCTGCTAAGACTGAATACAAACTACATTCAGGGATGACAGAGTCAAATGTTTTCTTGCATTGTCCTTTTGGCTCTGAAGAGTCACCAGCAGGACCATTTGACTCCACAGCTGTGTAAAATCTAATGCAAGACAAAGCTATTTCAGTGCACTGTAGGGATGTGAAACATTGAGCAAGTACTAGATTCGTCAAACTGATTTTCAGTTTTTGAATACATTTTAGCATACTGTGCACTTTTGTGTGAAAAGGCAGATGGAAGTCAAGTTCCACGCTCATGGAATGATGCTCAAAATTTGTATAAAGTTATTTGGATGTGGGAATTTTCTGGAAGTAGAAATAAGTAAGAACAGTGCCCTCTGGGTCTTTACAGACATGAAAATGGTTGCATAAAGCACAGTGAGGGTTGCTGTCATGCAACACTGATGAGTGCTGCCCATGGGGCAGTCTTGGGACATTCCTGTCTTTGATCTGACAGAACTATGTATCACTCCAGGGTAATTCCATTACAATACATTGTGTTTGACCAATAAATAGCTAAATTAAATCAGAAGAAGAGGTGTACAGGCACTCTGATGACTGCCAACAGTATTCCCACTAATATTTCCAGGAGTGTACATGAAAGCCTGCCAAGACATGCCCTTGCCACTATTCTTCCCTTTCCCTGGCAATATTACTGACCTTGTTTTCTGCTGGCTTAATATGATCGATCATCTGACATATCAGGGCAATTGCTGTTATGACTCAACAACACTCATGCAAAACGTGTCATTTACAGTGGACGTGGTTAAACATAACATGAGAAATAAGCATCACTGGGTTTATTTCTTTTAAAACCGCAAATGTTCCATGTGTATTTATAAGAACTTGTCAGATCTTTTTTTTTTACAAAGTGGCTGCACAGGAGGCTTGGTGTTGCTGAGAATTCCTTCTATTTATGCCTTTTATGGTCATTTTTAGGGATTGCATTTAATTTTTCTTTTTTTTTTTTTTTGAATCATGGCCACAACTGAATTTTAAATCAGCTCAGATAGATACAGAGTAGAATCAATCTAGGAGAACTTATATTATTTCTTAAATGGGCGTTCTAACGTTATTGCAGTATTTTTTGTTTCAGCTGCCAAGTATGTAGTTCTAGAGATACAATTCAATGAAAATATTAAATAAAAATGATATTTTCAATGGGTAACGCTCTCCAAGGCTGTTTATCTTATGATAGACTGCTCTAACAATAAAGCACCTCTTCAGAAAATTGTTTAATAAAATATCAACACAAATCTCTTTGATTTTAAACAGAAAAGTACAACTGGTGATTAGAACGGCACTACTGGCAAATGCTGATGTTTTAATCAAAACAATTACAAAAGCCTTGGACTGCAAAGGCACCAAAACATAAAAAACCATACACTTTCAAAGGGGACAACAGGATAGGAATCACATTGTAGAAATTAGCCTTAGCAATTCATATGATTAGCTAATAAGCCTTACTTCTTTTTTTTTTCCTCTCTGTGAAAAGTTAATCATTTCCTGGATTAGCACACTAAGCTCCCAATGTGGTTAATTATAACCTCACATTTCTTTATTTTTCATTTGTTTTCCATAATTAGGAATGAATTTCCTAATCCTTCAGGAAAGAAGTATTACCTATAAATATAGTTTAAGAATTTTTTCTGCTTCCCGTCATAACCTTTTCATCAGGTAACAAAGCAGCCTACATTAAATGGGATCCCACATATCTGTTTCACAGACAGGCTGGAGGCAAAAGGGACCTTCATAGTAAATGAGTTTTTGAATAGTTATGGCTAATACATTGCAAGATAACATAAAAACTAGTATGAATGGCACTAAAGAACAGAACAGAAAGCATCCATGGGGCAGGTGTCTTTGTTATTACCTGGTTGACTGCACAAATCAATTTCCCAAGTACCAACATATAGAAAAGCCAAGCAATAAACTGTACATTTTTAAAAATACCACATCAAGCTGCATATAACAAATGTATCCCACAGTTTTTGCACGTTTTGGGAACCTAACTGACTTATATCATGGTGGTCTCTGTCTGCATGAATGACTGAGCCCTTGAATTCCGATGGAGCTGAGAAACACTTTCTGATCCATTTCGAGAAATGGAGCTGTGCAGTCTGTAGTCTCTGCCAGCTGTCTGCTTCCAGCACAAACTCCGCCATTTTCTTTTCAGCTCTCCTTGTACCTGTGTTAAAAAGAAAATGCACAGAATGAAAACATTCTTTTTATCTGAGAAACTTTTCCACATTTACTGGCTACTAAGTGGGACTTCTGGGAACAAATTCTAACCAGTTTTCACAAAACTGAGGTGAAAACTGCACCTGCAGTTGTTTGTGAAGAGAAACCCCACAGCCACTTTTAAATTCAGATTTGTATCACTTGTGTTGCCACAAGTGGCTTTTATTAAAATAGTCACTAGTATTAATCACTTGTACTTAATGAAGTGATTAGCCTCAAATCAGTCATCTTACGAATATCAAAGACCAGAACAACAGTAGACTAGAATGTCAGTTCCCACTGCAAGCGTCTTCTTCAGACAGATTCCTCCTGACACACACTGAATGCTATTTAACAAATATCACACCTTAAAAAGTAGCTGACGTGCTAACATCATACCCTAAATACTTACTAAATTCTGTTCCAAGTTTTGCATGACTTTCTGAGCTTGCTGCACCTCACTTGGACAGTTCACGTAACTTGTACCAGGGTCAGAATCAGATCACAGTAAGTAAAGATGCACTGCCATTTGCAAGGAATTAGATTTCAAAAGGCTCTTAGCTCTTCACCCAAATACACTGATAGACCTGATCCAGGTCTATAAATATCTAAGGTGTGGGGGGCAGAATGGCGAGGCCAGACTGTTTTCAGTGGTGAGTGGAGACAGGACAAGGGGAAACGGCCGGAAACTGCAGCATAGGAAGTTCTGCACAAATGTGCGCAAGAACTTCTTTACAGTGAGGTGATGGAGCACTGGAACAGGCTGCCCAGGGAGGTGGTGGAGTCTCCTTCTCTGGAGATGTTCAAGACCTGCCTGGATGCCGACCTGTGCGACCTGCTGGAGGGAGCCTGCTTTGGCAGGGGGTTGGACTCGATGATCTCTGGAGGTCCCTTCCAACCCCTACAATTCTGTGATTCTGTGATTCTGTGATTTATCCTGCTGCACAGAAATGTGTATATTCTATAAGCAGGAATGCAAACATTTTCTAAAACAGCTACATGTTACATAGAGTGAAATTATAGAGGTGCTTATTTATACATTTACTGAAAACAGCAATTTTTATAATATATATAAATATATATTATAATATATATTATAATATATATTATAATAATATAATAATATATATTATATTATAATAATATATATTATAATATATATTATAATAATATAATAATATATTATTATATTATTATAATATAATAATATATATATTATAATATATATTATAATAATAGCTTCGATACACAAACAAGACTTACCTCACTGTTCAAAAAACAATACAGGACTGCAACAATCAATCCCTAGAAACAGAAAATGCTCATTACTTGGTATGCAGCACTAATCTAAGTCAATAAAACTTGAATAAAAACTTGAAAATTTACCTGAAAAGATCCCAAACACAACTCAAAAATTATTTTGTAATTGTTGGAACTGCGGTCAGGAAACAGAGCAAACACTGTGTAGTGAACTCCAAATAATGGAATAAGCAACAACGTGGATTTTGCAAGTCTCCTGGATAGATGAAGCAGAAAAAGCCATAGTTTAATGATAAGCTCTTGCTTTACTAAGGTAAGAATCTAATGCAATTTCATTTAGATAAACCTTGTATTAATTGCATTTTATGAATAGTAAAAGGAGACATTTAATAAAAACTGTTTACCTTTCAAGCTTGCTGTAAGATTATCCTCACAGTAACCTTTGTAAATTAATGTGTGCAGCTCTACTTGATCTGGCTGACCCTGTGCTCTTCCAAAATCTGATGAAGGCTCCAGGGTCCCTCTAAATCAAAAGACATTTTTTCCACTGACCTCTGGACAACGGTAGGACGTAGGACCTGTCCTCTGCTGTGCCTCTTTGACAAGTTCCCAGTTTTGTGACTCTTTACAAGTTCCCAGCCTATCTCACAAGAGGCTATCAGGCCACTCAGGGCGTTTTTTACATAGCATGAATCATAGAGTCACTCAGGTTTGAAAAGACCTTAAAGATCATCAAGGCCATCCACAGCCTAACCATACTTCCCTAACTCTAACAACTAAATCACGTCCCTGAGCACCACCATGAATTGTTGAGAATGGGGAGGAATATTGACTTCCTGCAAAACTTTACAGTTCTTGTGTAAAGGTGAATTCTATGTCTTAAATTAGTATTTTCAGGTTCATTTCTTTTAAATTGCCACCTGTAAGGATGCTCGTACAATTTCTCTGCAAAGTAGGCAAGGAAATGCAATCCAGAATAAACTCAGCTGTGATGTTTAGATCAGAAATTTCAGATTTACCCCCAAATTCACTACTATAATGATAGTATGAAATATATACCATGAGAAATTTCATTTCATGTTATAAATTACGTAGTGCAATTTATCACAAGACACTACTGAAGTTAAGAATGTCAACTTTTCATTATTAAGCAGGACAGTTTTGACAAACTGCCTCTGAAACCAGTGAAATGATGAATTGTTAATTATCCCTTATCTGTCACCCATTTCACTCTAACGACATCACTTTTATGTATTATGGAGGACCAGCCATGCATGATTATGGATGTCTGCTATCAGGTAAAATTCAAGAAGTTGTAATGTTGAGTACCGTAATTCATCACTCTCTTGGTGAATCTAACTGGATTCAACAATGAAAGGAAGCTGCTGTGATTTCCCTACTTTATTAGAATAGTCGATGTATTACAAGCAGTTTTATTTTTTCTGTGTCAGTCTTCAAGGCCTTCCTTCACTCATAGTGTCCCAGAGGCTACATCTGTTTATGTGGAAATAATCAGTTCTGACAGCAGAATTTCTCGAGAATAGTAAAAACCTCATACTTAAAAGTGATATCAGTAACTGTTAGCAACAGGGTTTCTCTGGCAGAAGAAATTAATTTACAACTGAAGGAGACGATGAGGGCAGCAAATTTCTGGTTTCCCAAGTGAAGTGGAAAACTGATTTTATTTCAACTTAACCTTTCCTACTGCAAAAGTAAAATGAGCATCAAAAAGGATGAAACCAGGTAAAGATGGGACACAGGAAGGGAAGAAAAATTATGATTCAAAATGGGTAGCATTTGTTTTATACTCATACTTTCACTCCATTCCTGTAGCAATATTTTGTCCAGCTGATAATACTTTCTGTTTTAGTGAAGAAAAGACACAGAAAATTCTGCACTGTATTTTAGAAAGCACATTTGCATTTTGAAAAATGAGCCTTCCAAACCTTTAATTTGATCTGGAGAAACAGTATTTCTTGAGATGGTTAACCTGCTGTTCCCATGAGTATCTGCTAAAGACTACCCAGTCCAAACTTAAGCAGGCAATCAATTGCTAAAAGCAAAGAATTCACATGGCTGAACAATGAAGGACAAGGTTGCTGTTCCAGAACTAATAACATGCAGTAAACTATGGAAAATGATGGGACAGACAGGAAGGGAATGCTTTGTTTTCATGAAAATGCATAAATCACAGGGAAACAAAATGTTCTCTTGTAAGAAACATGCAGATTTCCTGCCTGTATAAATATATATATGTATATATACATATAGATTTCCTGCCATATATACTTGTGTATGTCAGTGTGCTACATAATACTGTGGTGACTGTGTAATTTCATCTAGGTTGATTTAGTTCTCTCACGTATTCAATTAATTCAATAACACAAAAACAAAAAGGAACTGAGTAGTTCTATGCAGCACATTATATTTCCTCCTAACAACTTATGGAAACAATTTCTTTCCTACTTGCTCTTAAAATATATTAAAATATTAAAACAAAAATGTTTTGTAAATGAAAAAAGAAGTTTTCAAATAGGTTGAAGCCATACATTTTGCTATTTTTATGTCGAAATGAAATACCTGTACATTAAAAGAAAAATACTATTTCTCATAATACGCATAAGCATATTCTTTCATGGAATTAAGCTCAAATTCAAGAGCAGTTTGTTGGTCTTTATGAAATTGTCTGTTTTTTGTTGAATTTGGTGTTCGAAAAAATTATGTTAATCTCTGCTTAAACATGATGTTACAACCTTTATTTAATCGCCTAAAATTAGGAGCTTTTGAATTAAATGTAATTATACTGTCACAGCAACCACTAGTAGCAGGTTTCAGCCCAGTAAATCTTACAGAGATTAGTTAAATTCTATATATAAAACCTAAAAATATGACTCACTTGTACTGTGACTGGTCATTCCCTCCAACATCTGGTGATCTTAACTTCTGGAGTAAAATTCTTATAATACTGATGAAAAGTATAAAATTCACCTGCAAAGAAAACAAATACAATGGTGATTTCAGACTTCTCCATTCAAGATGCAGCACCAAGAAATGCTTATCAAATCAGAGTAATCAACTCAGCAGTCAGCACTGTGTACCTCCTGCCAGAACATGTTTAGCTCTACACAGTTAAATCTATTGTTTGTCTCTTATGTCCAGTGCACCTCTACATGGCTACTACTCTTTGTCTGGACAAGCCTTTGAATGTCCCACTTGTCAGCAACGCTCTGCATCTGAAATCTCAACTGAAGACAGTTTTTTTGGCAGGATGGGACACTGGATAGGATCCAGTGCAATCAATGATTGTCCTGAATTGTTGTTTGGATCCATGATTGGAAGCAAAAGGACAATCTAAGTCCTGTTTACAATTTTGATCCTCCCTTGCCTCTCATCTTCACATTATTTTCTGTCTGGATAGGGAGAATAGAAGATTGCTGAATGGGCAATCTGTTCACTTCCATCAAGCATGGAGAGTTACCTGTCTGCCCTGGGTACTGATGAATACATTATGACTGAAGAAATCAGACTCTTGCAGTATAACATTTTATCCTGGTAACAGCATTCTAGAATAGAACACTAGGACTACCTCATTTCATGGAAGGAGAATGGAAGCACTTGGATAAAAAAAAGTTATCATCAGACCTTGACCAGTCTAGAACATCCAAGACTAACACTCAGCAGGACTATGAATCTCACTCATAGTTTCTTCATTGGCTTCTGGTATCTTGCATTCCCTAGCTGTTCTGTTCCTGGATATTCTGGCACATTAGAAAACACAGGCCTTTAATGAAGTAAACACATATTTTTCATGCACGATGAGTTTGAAGTTTGACTTGATTAATTCTGTAAAAGTAATAGGTAGCAGACAGTATTCTTGCTGATCCAATCTATGGAATTAAATACCACAGTATAGCTTACAGACCGAAGGATACACATTAAGTACACATATGTGCAGTGGAGCTATTATTTGTGAACAAGGAGAAAGCCTCCACTTCCTCGTATATTTGCTATCCACAAAACAGGAGAAAATAGGAAAACTATTTACATTTGCACAAAAGCAGAACTACTTCTTTTTCTTGACAGACCTCATTAATTTCTACCACAACAGAATAAACTGTCATCCTTTTGGTTCCCGAGGTATCAAATCATCTGCAAAACTACAAAAAGGTGACTTTTTTCTTGCCTGTCATACACATATCACCTTTAAGTCTGTTTTCAAATGTGTCACTTTCACTCTGTAAGCATAATCTCGGATTAATGAAAAACATGCATTCTTGTTTGGGGTTTGTAACATTCCTTGACGCTGCTGAGTTTGTAAACCCAGTCAGAGGGAACAAAGTGTCCTCCGCAGGTCCCTGCCAGCCTTAACCATTTTGAGATTCAACAAAAATCCTTTGAGTGTGATGTCTTTATACAGGATACAATTTGTACATTGCTGAATGAAAATCTAAGAACAGTAAAATGACAATATAATATGATTGCAGACCAACTGTAAGACAAAAACAACTGATGCCTCTTTACTAGAGTAATAGCAAGATGTTGCTGATACCCTTTGTTACTGGCTGACTTGCTGTCAGTTTTTGAGTCTACACACATTGCCTGAGCGATCATTTAAACTGCCTTCATGTTACTTCTTTCTGCTATTTAGTTTGCTACACTAGTTGCCATATGAGATAACATGATGAATGATTTTCATCTGCTTTGTAGTTAAAAGAAGTACAGCTTCCACATGAAAAGTGCTCTTTCTTGAACAAAAGGAGTTCACTACAGTGAAAGTATGAAGAAGGCAGCTGTGGAAGCAATTTGCCAAATGCGTGGTACTTCAAATTATCTGTCTGGAATAGGAATCACTAATTAAACAACTCTGAAATGTGTACAGCATCAAGTATGGCAACCTGCCAGTTAACTTTTTTAAAGCCAAAATTGTCAGGAGGCGATGCCAGAGAAGGCTTCTGACATAATGCATTAATTGCAGCTATTCCCCCTTAGGGAAGTGACTTCAGAACTTGCTTTCACAAAGCTATTTAGTTCTGGATAATGAGAATATAGGTAATATAACCTCTGACCAGTGAAATGTGTTTGGATGTAGCACAGAAATCAATGGAAAACAGTGAAGATTTTCAGTATCATCTGTCATCTGTGCTTTTCCTCCATGCTATCATGTAAGACAATCAATAACAGTTTTGAACTCTGGTGTTTTACTATCCTTTATTTTACCAAAATCCAGCTTCTTTCAGAATCTTCCTGTACCCATCTCACTAATTACACGTCTTTGTCCTTCCTAACGCTGAAATCGTTTGTTACTGCTGATCATCCTTTTAGTCATTCTAAGTTTTACAGTCCTCAAGAACAGACTGAAGACTCTGTGTGAGTACGATGCAGGAAGTCATACCTTCAATTCAGAAATGCCACAACTTTCACAACCCCTTTTCAAAGGATTTGTAGTGATCTACTTTCACTGATGAATGGCAGGCAGCCCTGAACTCATTATTCAAAGACTTGTGGCTTCAGTTTTACTTTTTCTTGAAGGTAAATGGAAATACATATGTATGTACACTGAAAATGCTTTTCCATGAATGCAGTATTTTTATGCATCAGTGACCAATTTTACATGGCATTTCATTAGCTACTTTTACTCCATGCATGCACTCTGTACAGCAGTAAACTTGAATGGCGTTCTAGATGCCACAGTGGCTGTGATGACTGTGGGCTGATGCTCCAACAATATGTGTTACTTATCTGTCAAGAAAGGGTGAGTATCACTGCCTTGAATAGCTGCCTGTACTTCTGAAATCTCCTTTCACAGCTCCTCAAATGCAAAATGAACAAACTGCTAGAGAATCACACAAAGAATCACACAAAGAAGAATCACTTGTTCATCTTTAGTTGCTCTCATCCCTAAAACATGCTGCCTCAGACAAGAGACATCTCTAGAAGGTAACAGTGGATTCCAAATGTGCACGCCTGGCAAGCCAGAAAAGATCAACAAAATGCCTCTATATGGCTTACAGTCCCACTTACCATGCAAGCAACTGAACCAGTAAAAAACGAGCATAGCTGTTCCTTTGCCTTCATGATTCTGGTCCATATGTTACAATAAATTGGACTTTTACTCACTAACCAACCAATACTCCACTTTCTTACCTCCCAATACATTTCCTACTCTATGCTAAGATTCAGCTGGAATTCAAGTCTGCCAGTGAACACCTAGGTAACTTTCATCTCCTCACCTAGGACTTCTTTGGAGAAGTACTGCTATCTGACACATGAAGTCTCAGCTCAGACAGCTGTTTAAACAGAATCTCAATAGGCTCCATAGGACCTCCATAGGCTTTTTCACGTTTCTGGAAATACCAAGTGGTTTGTTTTGCTTTCATTTTTCAGTGTATTTTGTTTACTCTGGACCATCTCCCATTCTCCTGCTCACCTGAGGTACATATTCTTCCTGTTGTAGCCCTGTTGCACATCTATTTCTTTGTATACTAGAAGATTTTTTGGAGCCCTTGCTTCATCTCATTCCACACTACACTGCTTACTCTTTAAACACTACAGAAATGATAGCAAGTTTTCTCAAAATGATTTTCAGCAGGCACAAACTGAAAGGAAAGCCCAAATGTCAATTCTGGGCTAATTTAGGCTTTTGGGATTTTGTATAATCTAACAATGACCTACCTTCTCTGACTAAAATTTCAAAACTAAAGCACGTGTATCTGAAAGGAATTAATTTTCCCTGTGACTATTTTCAGAAATTGACATAAACAATAAATTATAATGCACAAATTTAATTACACAGTCATCACAATGAACAGGAATTTTATTATGCTACTCCAGTAATTCTAATGAGCTCCACATAAAGCCCCACGAAGCATTCTCAAACAGTATTCTTTTGCATTAGGCTCCCCATTAAAGAAAGATATACACAGCTATATTTTTTTATGGCTGCAATAATATTAGATTCTCAGTTGCAGAGCTATCTATTTACAAGCAAAATCAAATCTTCAATTCATTGAAAAGCATAATTAGATTTTTGCTTCCCCCAGGCTCATAAGGAGGAGGGATGTTAAAGAAAGAACGAAACACAAATAAAAGCAACTATTCATTTAATAGGAGACAGATAAATTTTGAAGGCAACAAATCTTAATGTGCTCAGTATCTTATGTTATGTCTTCGACCGTGAATTTCTTCTCATTAAAACAGAATTCTTGCTTGTCTGTAACTAGCAGCAAAGAATAATGGCTACATGCACTGCACAGTGCTGAACTGATATATAATTCATGCTTTAAAGTTTACTTACTATAATAGAAATTAAAATTGGTATTCGTATAACCCACCAAGGACCACCATGCTCATTTGTATCCCAGCAACTATAAAAAAAAGAGGGAAAATTGTGTTGACACTAATACCATCTGGCAAGCAAGATCTATGAAGAGAAGTGTTTGCTATATGCAAGCCCAAGAACATTAAAATCACAAATCCTAGAATTTGGAATTTAATCTTTTTCTGCTTTTTATTTTTGTTTCTCTGTTTTCAATACATACATTCAAATGAGCTCGAATACTAGGCACCAGACCATAACATTAGAAGTTGTGGAAGATGATGACCTTTAGGAAAACCACGTTAAGATTCACTTTGTGACAGGATACTTTTGCAGCAGGCACTCAACAACAGCCTCTAGGTAGCAGGAAGATCTAACACAACTGACAGCTACAATTTAAATGTCATCATTTCCCTGTGGGATATTTAGGTTATGGATGGCTAGAACTGGCTTAGGAAAATATGAGACTGAACCTGAAACTTTGTCTGAAAAACTGAAAAATTAATTTTCACTGTCAGCTGAGCAATTCTGGTATAAATACTCTGAGCATGAACACTCTGAAAGAGTAATTTTAAGCAACAGTAATACCCTACAAAGTTCCTCTGAGATAGTAATGATGAAGGAGAAAGGAGCTACCCTTCAGTTTACAAGTTGGAGGTCTTGCAAAGAAAGCAGAATTTATGCGCAGTGTGATTTTTCAGTTTAAAAGCAGTACTGAACAAAAAATATCAGCCAGATCCATGAAAGTGGAGTGCGATAACTGTTTGCCTCAGGTAACGGCTTTAAGTTGTAGCAGGGGAGGTTCAGCTTGGAAAAATTTCTTCTCAGAAGTGGTGAAGTATTGGAACAAGCTGCCCAACGAGGTGGTGGAGTCACTGTCCCTGGAGATTTTCCAGAAAAAGGTGGATGTCACATTGAGTGACACGGTTTAGTAGTACGGTGGTGATGGGCTGATGGTTGGACTAGATGATCTCAGTGGTCTTTCCAACCTTAAAGAGTCTATGATTCTTTGAAATTAGGATGCCCAGTACTGCATGGCAGCACACAATCCAAGGACCCCCACTGCTACTTTAAGTATTGTTCTGACCTTTGAATCAGACAGCTCTACACGCAGGTCTCAAAGGGTAACATCAATTATAACCTCTCTCTAACCACTCTTGCACTTTGCATTTCAAAGTAAACTGGCAGCATAAGCTGTGTTCTGAAGAGCTTCTGAACATCTAAATCTTTACTGAAATTTTGTCTCCTTCAGAAAAGCAAACTACTTTTGTATGACAACCACCACATACAAAACATGACTAGTAGTGGCACAGCTGTAGGCTTTAAGCTTTTCTCCCCAGCATACTTACCCAGTGTCCTCTAAAATAATCCGTGTCACTGTCCATGTAATAATGAATATGGTAGGAATTCCTGAAATTGAAGCAAAGAGAACAATCATCAGAAAGTTAGTTCAGACTAGTAGTAACCATTTATTTCCCAAATATTCAGCATATGCTAAACAGTTTAGTAAGGGTGTGAGACCCATCTGATGAGCTAGGAGGTAAGCTCACGTGTTACAAAGTCTGCAGAAAAGTGGTTACATTTCTTACATAGTTTTAATTGCTAATACACAAAGCAGAAGCCTTTCTTATGTGTCTTCCAAGTCGTCTGAGGGACCTGTAGGGACACAGATACAACTTAAGCGTTCCCAGTGTATTTGCAAGGACTACAATATAAAAATGAAGAGTAAGTCATTTCATAAGGATCCAACTCCATACACTGGCTTATTGTAACTTCCAAGCAATACCTAATGTTTTATGATCACTTACCAGTGGAAGTCCATACCTTACTGCACTTTCGGTAATCTACAGGAACATGTGTATTTAGAAACAGATGGAAAATACTATTGGGCTTTTGAAAAATGCACGTAGAACAGCACAGTCTGTGGCTGTGCAGCTATATTTTCTCTCTCCTCCCAAATATAGGACAGACTCACATCATCCTCTTCCTTGAGCAACTCCTGGCATTGTCAGGAGTGCAGACTGGCAGAGGTCAGAGCCAACTAAGAATAAGTTAGCACTGAGGGTTCTGAGGGATGAGCGTGGGGGCTCTGTGCTTATTCCCCCCACCATGCCAAAATGGCTGCACCTATGCTGATGAGCTGATGAGGGGAACTAAAATTCCCAAGGAGTCATGCCCATGCATCAGTCAACAGAAACTGTATCATTTCATCATTTCATGTGAGATACTGAACCTAATACACAGATTAAAATATTTAATTGGAAGGCGTTTGCGTTCTTACCCCATCCAATCAGCAGATAGACTGTGAAGTGTCTGTTGGGGGAGAATATTAACACAAGGAGGATGTGGAGGTAAAGTCCTTCAACCAATAGCCAGTAAAAGTTTGCCATAACACCGTACTGGAAAAACACTAGAATAGCTTTGCAGCCCACCTGAAATGTGAGAACAGGAGTCAGGGTTGTTGCAGGAAAGATGCTGTGTTATTCTGCTATTACGTGTTATGCATCTTAACTCTTTCCAGGAGAAGCATCTTATGTATGTTACTCCCAGATTCAGTAGATTTTTTTTGCCTGTATCATAATCATAGCAAATGCACTCAGAAATTTTGAAAATATCGTAATATAAATTCTGTAAAAGAAGGTGGTTATCAATAAATGCATACATTTTCAATAGTAAACGAATGGCTATTAGATTAAGTGATTGTTTACTAGGTGGCTAATAAATATATTCAAATTTCATCTGTCTTCCTAACACAGTAAAAGGTAATAATGAAATCGTTTTATGAGTTTTTAAAGGCTAAACTGGAAATGGAGTGAAAATTATAACTTTCTATGCTGAATCTTCTAAGCAGAAATAGAGGAAAAAGCTGAATGGATTTGTAAAAAATGTTTTCCATTTAGAAAATGTTATGGTTTCTTAATCAAAAAGACACATAAAATGAAGTCACAAAATACTTACAGTCTCTGTGCTAATCTTCAGAATTAATTTTCAGAGCTCTGCTCTGCTGATGTTTCACAGTGCTAGCTGCTGCTACTTCAGCCTTTCTCAGCAGGAATCTGGGATGTGTGAGTTGAACATCAAAACATTCCTGCTGAGACTGAGCTGAGAAATGTGATGATATGGCGAATGTAACAGACTAAACAAAATGGACTAAACAAAGCTTACAGCTTCTGTCTGCTTTACTTTTTTCCCTTTTCTTTGTACGTCCACAGCTTTTGTTAAAATTCCAAGTACATGACATACCTAGGCAGGTAATTTACTTATTTATTGGTTGATACCACTGTCTACACAAGTGTCTGTTATGTGACATACCCTAAGTTAACCTAGACTCCAGGTGCTGGTCCAGAACTTTTTAGTATCCATCAGCCCTACACGGTGTCCTGGATAACTCACTGCATCTTGAGTAACACTGCCTGCCTGTATACATTCAGAAATCTAAATAGAAGCACAAAGTCTTGAATTAATTTCACTTAACTCTAGATATAAGAGTAAGGTTTTTGATGTAAGACAAACACCTATTTGATACTTCTACAGCTCATGAAGAGAGACAGGCATGTCCAGAGAAAAGTCTTTGAACAGATGAGATAAGCTGCCCAGTCAGAAAGATAGAAGCCTTGAGAAACAGCTTAGTTCAGTGATCTTGTTTGGTAGAATCAATCTTACCTCTGGACTTTGTATCCATGGAAAGATTATAAACTGCAGATCAGTAATGGGTTAGAACATTTAACATGGAAAACATTACATATTTCAAAATGCAAGCTAAAATTTGCTTTGATGTTTACGGCTGCTCACAACCAAATTAGCAGTCAATGTCTAAAAATTTTCTCTCCTTAAAATGCCAATCCATATTTACCTGTGTAATTGTGTTCTTGACTTACGTACCAGAAACTTACAACAAAATACTTTCCCATCCTCCTGCAGCAAATCCTGTATTAGTCATCTTTTCAGATGCTGAACAATGAAAGCATCCATCACTAAAAGTCAGCCAAAATTATGCATCACAGAATGATAGAAAAACTTGAGTTGGAAGGGATTCCTAAGGATCATTGAGTCCAGTTCCTGTCTCCACACAGGAACCACCCAAAATTCAAACCATATGTCTGAGAGCATTCTCCAAACGCCCCCTGAATTACATATCAGTGTTACTCCGATCCAGGACCTAATTACACTGCATTTTGAATTGTTTGCCTTTAAATGTGCATGTGGAACTGCGGAACATCACACACGTGATGAATGTGAGTCAATGTAAGGCAAAACAGCCACAGCCATGTGGTATCAGATCATCCCACATGTAATACAAAAGAAATTATTCAGCAGTCCGCAAAAATGGACAAATTCCATCAGGAAAGTAAGAGGTTTTCCTACAAAGAGTAACTGGAGAATAGAAGAAATTGCAGAAAACAAAGAGCATTCCAGGGTCCACTGACCAATTTTTGAAGGACCTAACCTGATTACTCCTGTTAGTCTGCCTAACTACTTTTCCTAATTTCAGCCTGGATTGGCCCTACTAACCCAAAGCTGTTACATGTTCATTAGAAAGGACCCAGATTGCTAATTCATACATACAGCTTGGTAGTCACTGCTAAGATTTTACATTTTGGGGTAATGTGGATCCATCAGTATAAAAATACCTTCTTTCCATTTTATTTCTGCAAGCTTAAACTTTACCAAATTAATTCTGAAGGTATTCGGTTATATTTATAGTTCTTTTGCAGCACTTCTGGCTGAAACAAAGGAGGTAAAGAATGGGGAATAGTTAGCATTTTTGCAGTAGGACAATATATATTTCTAAACTTTGTGTATGAAAATGCAATAAACATATTAGATTGCGGTTTAACACAAGCAGCTAAGCATCACGCAGCTGTACAGGAGTTTCCCACTTTCCTCCTACCCCAGTTTGTTTTTTTTTGCTCAGCATGACAGCATAAGTTAAGGAATGTTCTTCTGACCAGGTGAAATCAGCTGTCCCAGGGATGTTCCCTCCATACCTCCTGCCCATACGCAGCCTACTGGTCTTGTGGGCTGGTTGCAGAGAGACAGCCCTGATGCTGTGTCAGCACTGCTCTGTTACAGCCAAAGCACTGGTGTGATATCAACACTATTCTAGCTACAGGTGCAAAGTATAGCACCTTGGGAGGGAAAGTTAAGTCTGCACCACCCAGACTTAGCACACTTGCCAAGAATTCAGGTAACAATGCTTCTGTCATATCCAGAAAATTGATAAAGACAACTCCTGCAAATATCTGTATCACTGACTCGTTTCATTCCTGGACCCCTGACAGAGCAGCTGGAACACTTTCAGAGAAGGTGCCTTTCACCCTTCTTGGCTGATGGCACTCCTGTTTGCCTTAAAATCTCCCTGTATTAATGCAGTGGCTCTACTTAGCTATAACTGGCTGTAATTTGTTTTGGCAGGTGACCTGCTGTCTGTCTGTACATGGACAAACAAACCAACAACAACTTCTCTTTCTTCTGCTTCTCCTACTTGTGTCTACTTCTAACAGATCACTTGGACAGTCATTATATTCTCTATACACTTGCCTATACTGGCAGGTTGGTATACCCAAATATTTACAAGCATCAGGAGGACAATTTAGTGACACAAGAGTATTACATCAGGTTGTAAATGAGGTTTATTACCCATGATGTTTGGTCCTCTGGACAGTGAGCTGTGTTGGAGCTGGAGTAGAGAATATCATCCTTGACTAAAACAGAGATTGCTCTTAGAATGAAGGAGAGGAACAGGTTCAGATGGATGTAGTTCCGAGTGCAATGAAGTTTTCTAAGGAGAGATTTAAAAACAGTCATTTTAGATTTCAAGACAGAAAACCTCTTGAACAGGCTTCTACTCATCTCTGCTTGTTTCTTAGTAATAGGAACCTTAAGTAAGACCTACCCTTTCCTCCTCCGTCATATTTCAGTGCTGCCTCATGTTCCTTTAACATCATCTCAGCATCGTCATCATTATATACTGTCCAAGATATATAAATAAATGATCTCTTACTCCTTTTCAGCAATGCAGACCAAAAGATCCCAAAATGTTTCTCTCCCACTTTAATGTAAATGGACAGTAAACACTGATTATCATTCTGTGTCTGCACTCATTTTTTATGCAAATAAAACTTTTATTATTATTTTATTCTGCATAAATTTCAGATACACTCTCATCATTTTTTTTCTGGTTTTATTTTTTAATTTCTCCATATAATGGCTTTTTATCTTACGATGTATGTCAATGCCAGAACAATTAAAAATGCATGTAAAGCATTAAATTGCCTTTCTGTCCATTGAGATGTAAAAATTCCCTTCTTTAGGCATGCTTAGCATTCTTTAGCACACATGTGAAAGACTCACACACAAATGACAAATTAAATATTCCAATTGAGTGTTGAGTGTTCAGGAGAAGTTAGTTCTAAGGCTTTTCAGTTAAGACACATTCTTTCCAAGATCATCCTATGTAACAGAAATTTGTTTTAGCCAATCCCCAGAAACCAAGCTACTGAAAGGGGTTTTTTTTGGTCAAAATCAGAACTGTGAACTGTATCTGAATAATAGCCAGAAGCCAGGACATTTTAGCAAGCTGAGCAATGAAAGAATGAAGATGAAATAGGATGTTACAGCTAGCACTTCGGTATGCAATGCCAGCTTCTAAGTCATCTTCATGTTTTTATCATTAAATAACATTTCTGCAGAACACCAAATAGCACGTTCTGAAATGACTAGCACAAGCACAGTTAGAGAGAGCATTGGGAAATAAATGACAAATCCATCTCGTTAGCCTGCAGTTTGGCCAAGGACATAATACCAGGCTGAACTTAGAGCAGTTGTTAAAAAAAACACTCATTACTGTGGCTGTATGTGTCCTTCACTGAAAATGGTTCTGAGAAAAGCTGAAATACTACTATTATTTTGGACAGCAACAGACTTTTCTATGGAACTCAGTACATGCGAAATACATACCAAGACTGGAGTGGAAGAAAATATTTTCGTGACCACCTTAGATTACTAGCTTTTCATCCCCTTCAGTGTATGAAATTATAACATTACATCTGCAAAAGGCTGTCAAATCAACCTTTCAGAGTAGGTGGTCAAAAATCTTTTTATTTAGGGCTAGGTACAATGATTCAGCGTAACAAAGAAATGCTGCTTTTTAGCAGCAAAACAAAAGCTGCTATTCTATTCACCGTGAGTCATGATAGAAAACTATCTTGAATCTTGACAGATAGTTGATACACATGAAAACACATCTTATAAAAATGATTCAGTCATACTTTTCTTCTTGGTAAGATACACATATTAGTGTCAGGTAGAGAATCTGACTTTTTTGGTTTTGCAACACAGGAGTTATCTTGAAGGAAGTATTCTAAGAGCTCCACAGTAGTAACTTGAATCTAAGTGTTACACAAAGACATGCTGTTCTACAATTCATTTTCACTCTGAGTTGGAAAAAAAAAAATGTTTTAAAGTATGAGAAAAATATTAATTATTTCAAATCAGTTTTCAATTTTCTAAAACTTCATGATATACTAAAATTCACACATTCAAAATGAAGGAACAGAAATGTACATTGTATGTAGGGTAAAAATACTACTTTTGACTAAGTCAAAATCATTACTTTCAGTGTTTATAAAATGTTTACAGAAACAAGACTAGCCCTGACAATGTGGCAATGTCCAACAGAAAAGTATAGTGCCAGAGAGTTTCCAATTTACTCATAGTAAGTACACAGAGAATTACATGGGGAGTGACACCACGGCAACTTGAAAAACGTTGCCATCTTAATATGGAATGATATTACAGACCTTAATATGCCTCTATTCTGAGCTTAGAAGATTATTCAGAGATGAAATCCTTTTGTTTTGCAACACTTCTAAACCTGTCCTTTGCATGTATTAACAATGGAAGGCTATCTAACGGTTTTGTAGGATCAAGTAAAGTGGGAATCATCTTTGGAAGAAACATAACAGAGACGCACAGAACTGCAACTGCATGGAAACGAACTTCAACTGCATGGAAACTTTCAGGCAAAATCACCTTCTATCATCCAACGGTTCTGCTTTTCTTGTGCTTATAGCTGATACTTTAAACAACTGGAAAGGCTTGAGGCTGTATCTGTTCTGCCAGATATAATATACAATGGAGTGTGGAAGTTAAACAGTAGTACCTGAAAAAGAATTTCCACTTCTTTTTCATGTCCATGTTTTCGTTTATAACGTAATACTGAATATATTCATGATTAAACGCAGTACAATTGGTAGCATACATATACAAATCCAGCGAGGCATAATTTTCATAATGTCTGGCTTTAGTAATATGCAAGTTTAAATCCTAATCCTGCTGGGTGAAGTCAGAATTTTCACAACCCTCCTGCTTTAGTGACTCCAGTGATTTTTAGCTATCTTCTTAACTACCCAATCTCCTTTAGTCAATGTGACCTGAAAAGTTGTTTAATGTCTTTTTTAAATACAACAAAGACAGTTTGCTGATTACATGCAAAGGAGAATGTATTTCAGGGGTGAGTGAACTTTCTTCACAAATACTATATTGAAATTGCCTATAAAGAACCTCTGGACCCTTTCAGGGCAAAGTGTACTTTTTGGACAGCAGGTGTAAAGAGGGAAGTAGCAGAAAGCTAAACTTTACAGAATCTTATTTTCAAACTCTGTCCTTAAAAACAGACCAGAATGTACAGGATGGAATACGACTCAGAGATATGCAGAGACATACAGCCCTTTACATTCACTTTTCTCACTGACACTTCACAATTGCATCAGCTGCAGTATGACACAAGAAGTGTCTCTTTGTTACACTCAGATGTCTATGATATAATGTCTGAAATGTGTTACTGGGTATTAGCAGTTTTGAAATGCATGATCTGCTTTCAGTGTTTGGTAGTGGACACATTATACCCATAAGTGACTCCATTTTTTTCAAAGATATTCCAAAATAGTATCATGTGTCATTTACCCACTCGGAACTGCCTCTAAACATTTAAATATTGACAAAATCTTACAGTAGTCTACAAAACTTATAGCATGCCACAGTAACAAGCTAATCAGAGGACTGAAACTATGCAGCCCTCTACATCTAATATTACATGTAATTTTTTTCTACTAATTTGAGAGATGCATTTTCTTGTTCTTAGAGTGGAAATGAAAAGTTGTGTAAGGTTAATACTGGATAATATAAAAGCCATTCAATTAAACAGAAATGAAGCATAACGGCATGAAAGTTGAGAAAATGAGGAAAGCTATGATATCAATAATAAGATTTTGCTCTTTCTTTTGACAGATGGGGATAACTTTCTGTCTCAGAAAATGCCCAGAAATGAGCCGAAAACAGCAGACAGTACTGCTTTTCCCAACACTGCCTAAGTAAAACACTGCACCAAGTACTGTCCTTCAGCACAGTTACCCACACCCTTACAAACCCTCTTGGATTACCTGTGATGCCTGGAGACCACTCAGAAGTTTCTGAACAGCACCAGTTGTCTGGTGTTGAGACCAGCATTCTACTTATTTTCAAGAACAATTCAATGTATTGATTTTTAAAATGAAACAAAAATTACTTTATAGATTCATTCCTAAGTAGGCTGTAATGTCTATACATTTGTAAAGTGCTTTGAATTTTTTTTAATGACTGGTGCTGGCAAAAATCCTGTAGGCATTACGTTACTGTCAGCTGTCTGAGAAAATGCAAAAATGATACTTTTTTAAAAAAATCTGGGCAATCAGTAATAAGACAATAATTAAAACTGTTTTATTATTGCGCATATTTACTAGCGAAAAATACATACCTGAAAAGGCAAAGAATTATACTTCCTGTTGTGAGAGCAATCAGAGATACGCTGTGACCAAGGGTATAAATTGCCTTCACTCTTACATAGAAGTTGACCTGCACAAAAATATACACATGCTGAAACAACTTACTGATATTTGAATTGACTGAAGTGATACAGTTTTCCATTAAATAGTTCTCAAGACCAAATAAATTGCATTGTTTTCACGCTTTGCTCTATATTACATGATGAGAATGTATTATACCTTTATTCCAACATATTTTTGCAATGCAGCGTATCAAACCAACAGACATCAGTAGAAAATACAGCCTAAGAAATTCAGTCACACAAGTTGCAATTTTAGCTGATTATCCCATGTCTATGAGGTAAAAAAAAAAAGTATCTGGTCAAAAAATGTTCACAGACATCTGAAAAGTAAGAATGAGATGCAGTTTGAAAGAATGGCTGGTCACTGAACGAGGCAATCTCTCAGTCCTTCTGCTCCAGTGTACTTAGTCATGCATTTATACATCAATTTAATTTTAAGGACATTTTACGTCCCATTATTTTTAAGGACATCTTTAAATTCCATTCATTTCCTAATCTGTATGTTCAAATACTTGTCACCCAAACAACCCTTTCCCATTCCTTATGTTGTAAAGTTAGTTGCTAAATCTTGGAGAGGAATTATATCAGCAGAGAAAAAGCAGACTGAAGTATACAGTCTGATCATTAACTACAGTTATATGTAAATTTGCCAGAACATATTACATTAAAACCCATTCTGAACAACGATGATAATGCTCTCAGAATTAAACTGCTTGTTCATTTGTGCCTACAGCAAAGTGATTGCACAAAGCTAGATAAAATACTAAAATTATAGATTTTTTTGCTATGTGAAATAAAATTTTTAACAGCAATATAGAATATGTTAAATAAAACTGACAGAATTTCTATACGTACTGCACATATTAATAGCACTCAGATCTTACAGCTGCATCTGTAAAAGCAGTAATAAAGCAATACCTTTAAATAAACTATTAGAAAACGGAAGAGTAACTCACTCGAAATGCTGCAAATACACTGGACACTTTTTTTATTCAGCCTGCCCTGCCCTGCAAAATCATGGAAGAAGGATGCTCCAATAAATGACTTAACAATTTGGCAGCCTCATGATCTATCATCAGCATTCTAGGAGGTGAAGAATTTTATTCCCTGACCTTGTGCCTATCAAGTGTAGCAAGAACACACTCAAAGCCTGGAAACAATGCACAGCAGTTCCATAATATGTTGTTCTATCTGTTATCATCTTGTTGGCAGTTCCAGGCCCCATTAAAATGCTTTTCTACAGAACATGCAAACAGAAATCTGGAGGGTCTCTAAATCAAAGCTTCTTAACATCCACCATGTAAATATTGTAAATTTGAAGGAGATAAATGTCACTTGCAAAAGAAGCTGCAGTGACAGCAAATCTGCGTTGTTTAAATACTGAGTGGAAGTTTTCACATTCAGTTTCTCAGACAAAAATGATCAGCAGAGATGCCCTTTAAATGGTAACACTGATGCGCAGCTAAACAGAAGTCAGCACACTGCAGAAGAGCAGCAGTGAGCTGTCTACTAGCATGATAAAGCCATACACGTAAAACCTGGTAAGATTATGGGGACAGCACAGGGAATACTTTACAATGCTCTTGTCTTCTTGTCTTGAGAACCACAAAGTAGCTTAACAAATCCTGCAATGTTAAAGCAACCATCATCCGTTTGTAACTTGTATTTGCTAGTACTCTTCAAAAGGTAATCACATAAACCAGGCCTTCTGATGCAAAGTGTGTCCTTCAGAGCCCCTGGTAGAAATGACTTCCTCCTTCTCATTTGGGTTTCTCACTGTGCTAGAAAACCTTAAAAAGCTGTATGGTCCCTTTCTGCTGCACAGTGGCAGAAATATTTTATGAGTCAGTTATACAATCCCCAAAGACAGTCTCCTTCTGCCAAGCAGCAGAAATAACTCAAGATGTGTGTAAGTTTGGCACATGTAAGCTCATGCATCTGCTGTTAAACAAATGACTCCACAGATCAAACTGTACGCATCTCCAAGTACCGCGGTCTCTACACTCCAGACAGTTCCCTCTGCCTAGGTGAATCACCTCCCTTCTGCATTCAAAAATTCTCATGTTGACATTTTTATTAGGCTTTGAAATACTTTTTCTGAGAATCCTGTAAACAACTCCGCACACACATGATACACGGGAAGTATTAGAAGCTGACAGGAATAGAAATATTGCTATTTTGAAGTAAGAATCCATAAAAATATTTGAATTACTTGAATTACTGAAATATGTTTGCTTACACTAAAGATACTAGCAATTTTGTTTATGTAGTTCTGTTGCTAGTGACTACTTATCCCAGATTTACATGACAGATCAGAATCCAGTAGCTACAAGAAGTAATTTCAATTTGCAAGTTGAATTTCACCTTTCCAGTTTTTAGAGTATGTGATAAGTAAGTTTATGTAAATGACTTGAAGAATGCAATGTTGTTAACTGTGCTGGTATGGACAAATTCTAAGTCCCAAGAAATTTGTTCTAGCTCTGGCTCTGACATTCTGAACTCAGTCAGATCCAACCAGGTAAGAAAGCCTACTCTGCAAAGTGAAAGTTTTCACACTTGTCTTCTATTGTGAATGGATAAGAAGAAATCTCTTAATTTTTTTAATCACTTCTGATGCAATTACTAGCAACTCAACAAGTCCATTGCTTATAAAACATGCTACTTGTATCATCTTCTAATTCTCATCTATGTCTTGTATTTTCATGATGTGCCTATTCCTTTAAAAGGTCCAAGTACACCATATCTACAGAGAGACTGTATCTTCTCCTTAATTTTTGTCTTGACTTGGAAGTATTTGTTTAGGAAATACGTTTGGTGCCAAGTATATAACATATATAACTATGTTTAGACTGCACTGCCTTTGCTCATTTTTTCCCCTATCTTTGCCCATCTTCATTCCAGAATGACTTGCTTTGGTCCTACATTTTTCCCCTCATTCCTACCCTAGACACAGAACACACTGTATTTGCATAAATAAAGAACAGAGATCAACTGATTTACAGACTAATGACCCACGGTCACTGTACTTGTTAGATGGCCTGCATCAGTAAGATCCTAAGAATGATTCTGGATCAGAATTCATTATTGAGAAACTGCAGCCAGACAATGTTCCCACAGGAAAACCTCGATTCTGCTTACATGTTCTGCATTTCTTCATATCAAGAACAACTTGAACTCTCTATATATTTTCCTTTCTCTTTTCTTGGAATCACAAGGGATTCCATTACACAGAGTAACAACTTTGAAATTTATCTGCTTGGTGAAATTCATCTGCTATTTTTTTAATGGAACAAATTTTTGCAGAGCTGAATAAAGTTGATCTTTGGATAAGTAATTTTACTGTCCTGTAAATGTTCTTAATGTCCAGGAATGCAGAGTTCCTGTTTTCTTCCTCAGAAAAAGTTAGAAACAAGTGCAGGACAGTACAGTAAAGCAAGAGATGCACTAAGCCTTTGAATTTTGCAGTGGTGAATTCATCTCAGCAAGGTTTCTTTATAACCATGGAACAAAAGCAGCAGTGTTATTCATCTTGTCCTACAAGAAAAATCTAAAATAATTTAGAAGGATAATAAAGTAAAAAGACCTAGTTTATCTTCATTAAATGCAAAGGAAACCAAGAAAGTTCAGAGCAGATGAAGATCGTGGGAGCCTAAAGTTGGGCAATATTGCTCTGTCTCAGGCTTTTCTCCACTGACTTGGTTACCTTTCCATCAGACAATAAAAGCATTACACATTCTTGGGTTCCATTTCTAATAAGATTTTTTTTATTTTCAAACTAGTTTTAAAGGCCAGCATTTGAAGCTTAGCATTTTTTCTCGCTTTTGTTTGGAATTTTTTCAACTGAGGTCCAACTCCCACAGAATTTCAGATACCACAGTTCTGTTTCCTTAGTAATAATATCATGAAAAAAACAACCCTAATGTATCTGTAAAAAATTTTTCAAATAGCTACGAGAGATAAGGAGAAACGAGTAAGGCTTCCTTTAGCTTAATAATGTATAATATAATAATTAATACAGTAATGGTATATAATCCTTCTGAAAGGTATGAAGCTCAACAGAACTAATCATTCTCTCTCTCTCAAAGGAATTAATGGAAGAGAAGAGACTCTTCTATGCTATGATTCATGTGCTTCATTATGCTTATGATGATTCAAAGAAATTAGGATGACTTGCAGCCAGGCTCCAGAGACTACATCTCTTCTGATACTACAGAAGACAAGGGCTGTCTGCCTTAAATGCAGGTGAGTCCATTGCAGTCAGATAAAGTCTGTCTGAATTTTGACTGTTAGTCACATAAAATGCGTAGTTTTTACTTACTATTAAAAAACCTCAGTTTGGCAGTGTGTCCATATGTTACCATCTTATTATTATTACTGATAACTACTCACAGCACTGTAGTGATGCCAGCATATAACAGAATGAGCATGTACCTCAAAGTTGCAAAAGATTAATGAAAAAGAAAATGCTACTGTTTGGTACAAAGAAATTACATGGAAGTGAGGGAGGAGGCATTTTTTAAAGGAAATTTAATGAATCACACAATTTCTTGAATCGGAAGGGACCTTTAAATATCAGCTAGTCCAATACCCTTGCAATGAACAGAGACTTCTACAGCTACACCAGGGTGCTCAGAGCCTGGACCAGCCTTGAATGCCTGAGGACTCCAAATCTGGACACAATACCACAACTGAGGTCTCACCAGCACAGATAGAGGGGCAGGATCACCTCTCCTGCCCTGCTGGCTGCTACTCTTTTGATGCAGCCCAGGATACAGCTGGCATTCCAGGCTGTGATGGCACATTGTTGGCTCATGTCTACCTTGCCATCCACTAAGTCACAGAGGACCCTGAGATGGAAGGGACCCCCAAGGATCATTTAGTCCTGGTAGATGAAATCCTGAATCATCAGGTGCCAGCACCTACTGATTAAGCTACGCATTAAATATTTATTTTTTGCTCACAGAAATTAATAAAAATTACAGATTCGAGTATTTCATTGCATAACTCT